TATATTTTTTTTTTTTTAATTTATTTTTTTGTACCGGGGATTGAACTCGGAACCTTGAGCTTGCGAGGAAGGCGGTGAAGAGTATTTTAAAATATATTTTATAGCCTGATGTGGTGCTGCCCAGCTTGAGCAATTTAGCAATTTAGTGAGATCCTGTCTCAAATTAAAAAATAAAAAGGGCTGGAGATATTATCCCAGTGTGAAGGCCCTGGGTTCAATCCTCATTACTTAAAAAGACATTTTTACAGCCGGGCGTGGTGGCGCACACCTGTAATCCCAGCACTCGGGAGGCTGAGACAGGAGGATCGCTGGGAGTTCAAGACCAACCTGGGCTACATAGTGAGTTCCAGGCCAGTCTCAACTACATAGTGAGACCTTGTCTCAAAAAACCAAACAAACAAACAAACAAAAGACATTTTTACAATTGTGTTGGGCATGGTGGCACACACCTATAGTCTCAGCACAAATTCAAATTCAGCCTGCACAATTTGATTGCTTAGTGAGAACCTGTCTCAAAAAACTTAGTATATGCGCTGCCGAAGTGGGCACGTCGCAAAAAGTTTAAATAAGCCAAGAGTAGTTGTACATGCACTTGGGAGGCTGAGGCAGGAAAATCACCAAGAGTTTGACACTAGCCTGGGCTACATAGTGAGACCCTCTCTCAAAAAAAAAAAAAAAAAAAAAAAAAATCTCAGGGGCTTGTACATATGTGACTCAGTGCCTAGGTTTGTGTATTCGTGAGGACTTACTGCCTTGTGATCATGTGACAGACGCCATAATTGTGTGACCACAATATGAGCAAGAGTCTATCAGTGAGCATGTACTTAGTCATTGGTTTGTGGTTCCACTTGTTTGCTGACTCAGAAACTGGCTGTAGGGACCTGCTAAGCACTTAAGCCCAGGCTTGCCTATCAGAGTAGGGGAAGAAAGCTCCCATTCTTGCCCAGGGTGAAAGTGCTATCTGGGTCTGCAGTTGTGTATCTGAGCTTAAACTACTGAGCCCTAGGCCCACTGGCTGCTGGAGCAATGACACTGTGTAGGAGATGTCATAGGAGTGGAGAAGAGACAGATGTTTGGGGAAGGTAACAACAGCTTGTGGTGGGTCAAGCATAAGGAGATCAGAGCTTTGCCTATTGGAGCTGACACTTATATATGGGTCAGAGATACATGGATCTGGGTCACCTATGTGTGTTGGGAATGTACAAGAATGTACAAGAGTGTACAAGAATGGGAGAAGTAGCTCACAGTTGTATATAGATCATATGTGAGTGTGGGAGATCATAAGTGTGGCTGTTGAGCTGGGCATGCATGGTGGTGCATACATGTAACCCCAACACCCCAGGGGCTGAGGCAGGTGCCACAAGTTTATGGCCAGCCTGGGTTACATAGTGAGACCTTGTTTTAAAAGAAAAAAAACAAAACAAAACACTTTTTACCAAGATGACACTAAAGGCAATGAAGGAAGCTCTTACCCCTCTCAAGGCTCAAGCCAAAGCAAAATCTTTGAAGGCTAAGATGGCAGTGCCGAAAGGTATCCACAGCCACATAAAGATCCACACTTCACCCACTTTCCAGTCCCAAGACACTGTGGCTTCAGAGGTGGCCCAAATTCCCTTGGAAGAACGCCCTTAGGAGAAACAAACTTGACCACTATGCCATCATCATGTTCCTCCTGACCATGGAATCAGCCATGAAGAAGATAAGAACACAATACATTTGTGTTCATTGTGGATGTTAAGACCAAGAAGCTCCACATCAAACAAGCTGAGATGAAGTTCTATGATACTGATGAGGCCAACATCAATAACCTGATCAGGCCTGATGGAGAGAAGAAGGCATATGTTCAACTGGCTCCTGATTATGATGCTTATGCTTTGGATGTTGCCAACAAAATTGGGATCATCTTAACTGAGGCCAGCTGGCTAATTCTAAATACACTTTTTAAAAATTTATTTTATTTATTTATTTTTTGGTACCGGGGATTGAACTTGGGTCCTTGCGCTTGCAAGGCAGGCCACTGAACCGCGCTGAGCTAAATCCCCGGCTATACACTTTTTTTTAACCATTAAAAAAAAAAGTGTGGGGGCTGGGTAGTTAGCTCAGTGGCACAAAACCTGCTTTGAAAGTGCAAGGTCCTGAATTAAATTCCTGGTACAAAAAAAAAAAAGTGTGGAGGGCCGGGGATTTAGCTTGGTGGTTCCGCCACCTGCCTTGCAAGCACAAGGACCCGAGTTCGACCCCCAGTGCCAAAAAATAAAAAATAAATAAAAAAGTGTGGGAAGTTACAGGCGTGGGGAGACAGGTCACATATCCTTCCTTGCACTCTCACTGCTGAGCTACATCTCATAACTTTATTTTATTTATTTTTTGAGACAGTGCTTTCCTCAGGCTGACCATGAACTCATTATGTAGCTCAGACTGGACTTGTTAACTTTTGGCAATCCTTCTGCCTCAAGCCTCCTAAGTGCTGGGATTACAGGTGGATGCTACCATACCTGGTTTCTCATGGTTTTATTGATTGACCTGTGTGTGAATCTTTTCTCCAGCCTGGCCTCTTTCCATCACTGCCACAAGCAGCTGCAACACTCCTTTTCCTTTTCCTTTATACCTCCTCCTTCACCATGTGAATTTTCATGACTCCTGGTGTCACCAGCCAACCCCCTACTCTCCATTCTCTGCCATCACCACCCACAAGAAGGGATGTCTTTACAGCTTGTGTTGGCCTAGATTTGACCAGGCTGTTCCTCCGATGCTGCTTCCTTTCTTTGTGGGGACCGGGTGGGTGAGACAGGGTCTTGCTAGGTAGTTCAAGTGAGAAAACTCACTATGTAGCTCAGGCTGGCCTCTCATTGATTCTCCTGCCTCAGCCTCCAGAGTGCTGGGATTACAGGCCTGCACCATTACGCCAGCTCCGTGTTGCCTAATCACATCATCACTTATCCATGTGCTTCTCAGGAGCACTCTCAATTCTAGTGTCAGACAAATCTTGGCATCATCTAGTGTGCACCTTTCTCTGTCATCCCCAGGAGCACAGCGATCTTGGTGTGGTTCCAGGACTCATCCCCAGCACCCAGCCCAGCCCAGATCCAGGTGTGTGCTCTGTATTTACTGGAGGGTGAGACAGTTGCTGCCATTAGGCAGTCAGCCTCAGGGCTGCCCCTGGCCTCTGCCCACGTCTGATCCTAAGCCACACCCTAGCAACCAGAACGCCGTTGCAGCTGTTCTGACTTCCTCCAGCCTTTGATCAAACTTTGGTCTCTGGCATCAAGCTGCCTCCTCCCCTTTTAGATTTCTGTGTAGAAAGCAGTAGTGGGAGGACACTTCCCCTATCCCCTGTTGCTCACTGCCCTCAGCACTCCCTTCCTCCCTTTCTTCCTTCCTGTCTGTTTCTTTTGGCAGTATTGGGACTGAACCCAGGGTATATCCGTGTGTATCCCCTGCCCTTAAAATTTAAAAGAAAAAGAAAAAAAATTTTGAGACAGTCTCACTATATAGTTCAGGCTGGCCTTGAACTCATGGCAATCTTCCTGCTAGGATTATAGCCCTGGGCTACCATATCCAGTAAAAAATAACAAAAAACATTTTTTTTTGGAGGCACTCTTATTAAATTGCTGAACTGCCCAGACTGGCTGAAACTTGCAATCCTCTATCTTCAGCCTCCCAGAGTGCTTAGATTATAGTATATACCGCAACTGGCCTTTCTTTTTTGATGCCGGAGATTGAACCTAGGACCTTGTGCATGCTAGGCACATGCCGTACCACTGTCTCCCTAGAACCAATAAGTTTGCTGAGGGTGGGGCTGTCTGAGTCCTTATTGGGACAGGGGCACTCACTATGCTAGGCAAGCACTCTACCCTGGAGCTATATCCCACCCCTAAAACTGACCTGAGGATGTTCCTGATCTCAAGCTCTGGATGCCTTCCCTTAGCTCCAGAGTTCATTTCCACAGCGTGAGCTGAACCTCATCCCAATTCTTTGCCAGCCTCCCTCCCTGCTAGACTCAAAAAGGGCAATGGCCCAGATGAGGAAAAGTGTGTGTAGCAGGAATCCATAGCTCTTGGGGGCAGGGAGCAGAAGAGATGCCTTTGACAGTGGGTGAAGCAGGGAAAATGAAACAGCTACTTCTTCCCAATCTCCCTGGTGAGGCTGGCCCAGTTTAGGGGAAGGGGTGAGAGAAGCACAATGAGCTCTGTCTCTCACAAGGCTGGGCCTAACCCCATTCCTATCAATACAGGAAGTGAGGTCTTTGGTGTTCGGGACAAGTGGCCTCTGGCCTAGCAGCTTTGGTGTCCCAGGTGTTAGTGAACACATTTTTCAGGTGAGAAATTCCCAGCAAAAAGGGTTTTACAGAGGTCTGGGATTTAGCTCATTGGTTCCACCTGCCTCAAAAGTGCAAGGTCCTGAGTTCAATCCCTGATACCAAAAAAAAAAAAAAAAAAGGGTTTTAAGGAAATCTGAGCTCAACCTTACTGGTGACCCTTGGATCTCTCTCACATGCCCTGGCTCAGAAGCAGATCAAGCAGAGAAACAGTTGTTTTATATTTAATTTACCAAAGTGACCCCAAAATAATAATAATAATAATAATAATAATAATGATAATAACAAACTATCCAGGGGCAAGGGAGCAGGGTCAGACCCTCCCCAGCCCAGCTGCATCTTCCCTTTGGCAGGAAAGGGCCTCCCAGGGGATTTCCCCTCCCCCTTAGAACAGGGGTGTGACAGCTGGTATGGATGTCCTGCGAGGCATCCTGGGGGCTCTGCCCCCTCTAGATTCCACTTACACCCTACAGGCTCCTCCATGTCCAGGAGAGCCCTTGCAGTAGAAGCTAGCTGGCTTGGTAGTCAGGTGAGAGACCATTACAAGGTCCAGGTAAAAGCTATGGCTCCCAGAGCCAGCAGGCTGCTGAGGTGGGACCCAGCCCAGCCCCCACTGGCACCTCCAGCTGCACGCCCATGGTCCTGGCATTGCTCGCCACCCCAGCCCAAGTAGCACTGGCAGCGAAAGTGTGTCCTCAGGTAGTTCAGGTCAGCCCAGCTGAGCTCCCCCTCAGGTCGCAGCTGGGGTTCATCAGGTGCCCTACCGGGCACTAGGCGGAAGCTGCTGGTGTTGAGGTGCAAGAAGGTATTGGAGGTGGGGTTGCGGCGCACACATCGCCCATGACCATGGCACTGGGCCCTGCTGCAATACTGGGTGGCCCAGGACACATTGATGACGTATGGGACCAGCAGATCGGTCAGATAATTCTGGAGGTACTGGCAGGTCTCCTGGGAACAGAGGCCAGAGATAACAAGTCAGGGTGAGCTACTTCAGCCCACAGGCCCAGACAGAAACTGTCCACATTGTGCAGGCTTGGTACCTGCCTTGTGCATGTTTGGTAAGCACTCTACCACTGAGCTATACCCTTTGCCCAACTGTACCATTTTTGTTTTTTTGAGACAGGGTCTCACTTTGTAGTTCAGTATGGCCTTGAACTCACTATATAGCCCAGGCTGTCCTCAAACTAGTGGCAGTCCTCTGACCTCAGCTTCCCAAGGGCTAGGATTATAAGCATGCATTGCCACACCTAGTAATGCATTTAAAAAAAAAAATAGCACGAGCGTGGGCGCACACACACACACACACACACACACACGGGTGTTCCTGAGCACTCAGTCTCTGTTCCTGCTGAGAAGCAGATGGGGTCAGACTGGAGCCCAGCTGGGCAGGCAGGGAAGGGAGGAACTTAACAACTATTAAGGACAGCATTTCCTCTTTCCTGGGAGAAGGCAAGCATGCCCTCCTCTATTGAGATCAGGGACAACACCTTGGGTGGGAGCCTGAAAAAGAAGTCAGACTAGGTTTACACACCTAATGAGTTTGGGAGCACAAGTCCAAATGCTCTCTGCCTGTCCTTGTAGACTCAGGTCCTGCAGGCTGGGTGGGTCTCACTTACCATACTTGAGGTGTCGCCCCAGAGGATGACACCAGCTGCACCCAGGGCTGCACTCTCGCCGATGGTAGAAACAAGGTCCATCTGCATGGGAAGGGAATAGTCACTGAAGAAGACTGGGACCACAGGGTGAAAGAGGAAAGAGTGGACAATCCTGTTCTACTCTGCTGACTCCCTGTAGCACTCTCTATTTGCCTCTAGCACTCTCTGCTTGTCTTGCTTTCTCCTTAAAGAAGCCCATTTCTAACCCACTTTAAGCCTCAATCTCCAAAGCCAAGGGCATATAGAAGCCTATGACATGGCTCTACCAGGAAGCATTCCAAAGTCATAATGCCTGGGTCCAAGTCTCTGTGCTATTCTGGATATACTGAAGTTTTGGGCAAACTTCTCAGCATCTTTTCTTTTTGGTACCAGGGATTGAACTTGGGTCCTTGAGCTTGTGAGACAGGCGGTGGAACCAGTGAGCTAAATCCCTGGCCCCTTCTCAGTATCTCTATGCCTCAAGTCATACCTACAAAATGAGGATAATGATGTTACTCTTTCACAAGATTAGAAAGAGGATAATTTGGAGATGGAGTAGCCAGAGGACCCAATGGATGCTGATAACCCAAATATGCAGTGTTCCCCAGGAAGGAGGAAGGCAGGACCCTGGGAGGCACATACCTCACTAAGCCCGGTGAGCCTGCTGGTATGGGTATAGGTGGGTCGTGTGAAGACATAGACTGGGAGTGCATGATTGCCATGATGGCTTTGAGCCACACGAAGGGCCTCCTGAACACGGAAGCTGACAAAGTTTCGGCCGTGAACAGAGGAAGCCAGTGTCTCATCTAGGTAAACAGAGGGAAAGAGGGCTGTGCTTTCAGCCCACAGCCAGGCCAGCTGATCATTGCGAGCCACCTCGACATCAGGACAGCGGCCTGTGTAGCTCTCCCAGTTCTGTACATAATCATGATTGTAGCAGTCAGGAAAGAGGTAGAAGCCCCAGAGGTGTTGAGGTCTGACTGACTTGACATAGTGTAACGTCTTCAGCATGAACTGCCGGGCAGCGAACTCAAATTCATATTGCGCCTGTTTGACTATGCGGTCTTTTGGCCAGTCAGGATGGCGACTGGCGACCAGCTGACGAGACCACTGGCGATACACATCTTTGTCCTGCCAGTTGCGCACCCACACAGGCCGCCAGTGCTCCCAGTCGATCACAGCCAGCCCTGCAGGCTCCCGAGTGCGAATGTAGTGCTCCACGGGTTTCTTCAGCATCCCCAGGTGTTCTTGGAGGCTGCCATTCTGTGGCACACCACCATGTATAGATGTCCCAGCTGCATTGAAGTGCGGGTAAAGGCCTAGCCGGTCATAATAGAAAATTGTGATACTCTGGTTCACAAAACCCTCATTGGGTGAGGCCTCCACATCGAAAGCCTTCAGGTCCAGTAGCACCTTGTGGCGTGGGCCACAGTCCTGTGTGGGTACATCCCAGGCTACCACAAAGGGCCGGCCTGTGAAGATTGGTGGCACTGTGGGCTTCAGCTCCATGGCCCATGCCACTGCCAGCACCAGGGCCATTGTGATGGTGGGGCGTAGGCCTGCCTGCATGCTGGGAACTGCAGGAAATGCAGCACCAGCTCAGGAACTAAAGGAAGGGTGGGAAAAAACAAGTCAGTCTAGTGAATCTTGGAGGTGCTCACCTTAAGCCATGCCACAGCCCTCTATACTCTAAAAGTCCATGTGTGTGGGACACTGTACCCCATGCCTGTTCAGACCACATATGGCTATAGTAGGTTTGCAAGCCCACAGGCCACTGCAAGGTGGGCAAAACACCCTGGGTACTCACTACCAGGAGCATAGGGCTTCTTCCCAGAGCAGACAGCCTATAGCTGGGCAAGTATTTGTTAGATCTGTGACCCTTCTGAGAACTGGATGAATCAGGCTACTGACCTGCTGCCAGAGGCATACATGCCTGTATATTATTTAGTACATGGTTTCTAAGAGCTCTGTAGCCCTGAGCCCCACTCTGTACTCTGTGAAGAACCCATGATCCAGACTAGCAATAGCATTTGGGTAAAGCAGGCACAGCTCATACAAAAGCTTGGGAAGCTGGAAGGAACGTGGCCGTGGAGCTGGTAATCTGCAACACCGGCTTGGCATAGAAGGGAGGCTGCCCAGGCTTAGTCGCAAACACTCTCCCAGACTTGGAGGAGGCCGGGCGATGACAAAAGGGCAGCCGACCTCCCACACTGGAGCCAGTGCCCTGCCTGCCCTTTTCTCCACAGCCACCCGGAATGCTATCGCCCGCCCAGCGCCAGCGGTCCAGGGTAGAGAGCACTTGCCCGGCCTTTGTGCAGGACCCCGCCCCCGCCCCGCACGTGGGGCCAGAGCCCTGCTGGAGGGGGTGGGGGGTCCTAGGCTGCATCTCTGGAGGTGACCCCGGGGATTCCGAGCCCAGCCCACGGGGAGAGAGCTGCCAGGCTTGTATCGCCTGCCCTCACCTCGCGCGGGGAGCCGCCATCCTGGGCCCAGCTGAGCCCGCTCCAGCTTTTCGCCCAGGCAGGACCCCGGCTCCGCGCCTCTGCTAGCTCCGCCCCCAGACCTCCGGCCCTTTAAGATCCAGCCGGGAGGTAGACCGGGGGGGGGGAGGGTAGGACGGGCTCCTCGACCGGGAAGATGTGCCCGGTTTTTCTCTCCGTCTTTAGGGCTCTAGGGACCCCAGGTTTTCTGCAAAGCAAAGTTACCACCTAGCTAAAGCCAGGGATCACTTCGGATGGAATATCAGCCTCCGAGAGAGCCAGTCGGCTTGAGACCTACCCCCCATAGCCCACTGCCGGTGGTATAGTCCTCCTGGCTCCCTGCGGTAGCCAGCCCCTTAAAGAGACAGGATAAGGAACGGGAGCAGGGACGCGAGGAGTGGCGTTTCCGGGCCCGACCTTAAGGAGGCGCTGTGGTACCCCAAAGCATTGGCTAGGGGTTGCTGGGGATCTAGATATGCATCCCTGTAGACTCCAGTCTTGGGCCCCATGTGTGCTGATTATGGGATTTAGACCTAAGAGGAGCCGGGCCCTCCTAGGACAGTACTGCCCTGCCCCCTAAGAATCCTGGATCCCCTCCTCGCGTCTGCGGTCTGAAGACACTATAAGAACAGGCCAAGAGCCGCAGGCCGTGGTTGTCCTAGCAGCTTGGGCTGGCCTGTGGGTTGCAGCCTAGCTGAAAGACTGGTGCAAGGAAATTCAGCGGCGCCGTGAGAAGTCGGGTGCTCCCTTTCCCCTCGACCCGTACAGGGGCGGGCCATTCCCTGAGATCCTCTCCTGCTCAACTTCTGGGACTCCTGGGGGGTGGTCCTTCTCAACTCCAGAGAAGGTGCCACTCTTGCAAAAGTTTCTGGCTACACCTCGGAGAAAGTCCACTGTAGGATCCCGGGTGCTTGCCTCCCTTGTCCTGAGCCCTTTCATCTCTCAACTTCCTCTGGTAGGAAACAGGCGTGGAAATTCACCGGGACAAGTCCGGTGCGAGACCTCGCTCCTTAGATCTGCTGGCCCGTTTAGGACTGAGCTCCCCCAAGGGCCCCATCTGTCCGTCTGCCCATTCCCCGCCCTGGTGCGGGAGAGGAGATAGACCGCTGTGGGGAGCGCGTCTGCTGCCTGAACAGCAGCCCGCTACGCCCTGCGCTTTGCTCACCTGCGTGGGAGTCCGTTGGCCCAGTAGGTCAGCGGCCTCCCGCCTTCCTGGGGTGAACCTCTCCAGTCTGGCTACTCTCTTCATTTGCTGCCCGCTGGGTATTCCGCCAGGGATTTGATAAATCCCATTTCCCTCCCACTCGCTCCTGCCTCCCTTCCTAGCCCTTTCTCCTCACTTCCTGTTGCCCCTCTCAGAGGAAAGGGCCTGGAACTGGCGGGGGAGGAGAGATTGCATTGACCGTTTCCCTCCGGTGTGCCCTGTTAGCTAGATGTCTTTCCCTTCTTTCGCTTGCGTAAGAACTGTCCCCACCAATTGTGCCAGGTGACAGGAAGTCTATGGGTCTGGACCCAGGCGTCAGCTTCCCCCATTCTCACAATTCCCTTAATATTGGGGAACCTTTTCCCCCAGCCTTTCCTTGGGATTGGGGTTCATCCTCAAGTCCAGTAAGATGAGAGGACGGCCCAGGTGGTGAAATTCTGAGTTAAATTACTTGGGGGTGTTTGGCTGATGGTTCTCTAGAGCAGGTGCCAAACAAGGGAACCAGCGGGGGAGGGGAGCGGCATAGAAGCGGGGCTTCTAAGAGCTGAGAGCTGAAGCATCCTAAGTGTGACAGTACAATGTGCTAATGCAGGGGCCACTGGGGAGTGGGCAGGGGCTGGGTCTGCAGGGTACTTTTCTGTGGGATTTTAGGGTCTATCATACAGACTTGGGGCACTTAATGGGTGAGGAAGGTGGTGTGTTCCTGTGGGAAGGTGGCTGGTCCCACAGAAGACTACCTATTCTCAGATCATCCTGCACTTACCTCTCCAGTCCCCAGGGGTTCTTCTAACAGAAGGGCACACAGGGGGCTGAAGGAGATAGGTATATATACCCTGGTGTCAGGTCCTGAGGACCTGGAAGTCCAGGACATGGCAAGGGAGGATGCACTGTCCCTGTACACTGTACTGACTTCACAAAGCACAGAGGCCTCCAAGGGTAGGACCCCTGGGAAAACAAAGTCCACACCAGACTATCCCAGGGCAGGGACATTTCCTTAGGCAGTCAGCAGGAAGGAAGTAAGCCCAGCCCAGCTGGAGAGAGTGAGGAAGCACTGCCCTGACTCCCATTGTTTCCAGCTTTGGGGTCAGCTGGGGAGGCCCAGTACAGGGAGTTCCCTCCAGGATGGGGGAGAGAGAGAGAGAGAGAGAGAGAGAGAGAGAGTGTGTGTGTGTGTGTGATAGGATGTTGTATGGCATAGGAGAGCCCTGGCCCTTGAACAGCAGTAATAGGCTAAGAGTGGCTTTTTTTTTTTTTGGTACTGGGAATTGAACTCAGGGCCTTGCATTTGCCAGGCAAGTGCTGCCCAGCAGAGCTATATACCTGGCCCTATTAGGGGTAAAAGTGGAAGATGACAGAACCTTAGGCTAGCTTCTTAAGGGGAATGGGAAATTGGGCACAGAACTACAAGTGCAGGCTAAATAGGACAATCCTGCTCCCAGTATAATGAGTTGTCTTCTTAAAGGCTGGAAGGCCAAGTACCCAGACTCAAAAATGGGTTCTTGAATTCCTCCCTAACTGGGAGTTGAGCTGATGGTCAAAAGCTAAGCCTACTAGAGAACCTGCCTCACAGTGGGCTCTAAGAAGTGTAGGCAGAGCCAGGTGTGGTAGCACATGCCAATAATCCTTGCACTCAGGAGGCTGAGGCAGAATTGCCAAATTCAAGGCCAGCCTGGGATGCATAGTGAGTTCAAGGCTGCCCTGAATGGCAAGATTCTGTCTCAAAACAAAACCCAACTATCTGGCTGGGTATGTAATTCTGGTACTTGAGAGTCCCACGCATGAGGATCACAAATTTGAGACCAGCTTGAGCTACTAAGGAGTTCAAGGCCGGCCTGGACTAGGTAACAAAACTGTCAAAAAACTAAAAACAAAACCAAAGAATTGTCTGGGGTCATGCTCTAGGCCAATGGGGCCAATCCCTAGAAAAGCATCCTAAGGGCAGATTCCAGGAGTTCCCACCAAACAAAACACAAAAAGGTGAGCGTCCCACTCATCTAGAAGGGCCTGTGATGAGGTTTATGTGACTATACAGCCACCTGCTGGCCAGGGCTGGGATTGCCACAGGCATGATATTACCCTTGGTGCTGGAGATGAGGGACTCTCCAGAGTCCTGGGATCAGGTGTACTTAGAAGCCCAAGTGATAGCCTAACTGTTGGGTACCACAGTTCCAGAAGATGCCACTTTCAGATACAGGATCTACAAATAATTTTATTGAAATCGAACAAATAACACAACAATCTTCCTATGCTGGGGAGCACCACCCCCAAGCCATGTCCCACGCTAGGAGCACAGAGCTTTGCACGATAAGGAAAAGAACAACAAAAAAGTCATTTCTATGTAGAAATCAGGCTCTGCCCCAACATCATCATGGACTAGACTATTTACAAATCTTCACATTTTAAGTACAGTATTCCTTTTATATTTTTTACCCTCCTTTCTGTCCCTATCTAGGGGCCCTGGTACTTTCCCTTGATTGACCCAGAAGGGGTGAGGATACTGTGGGGTAAGAGTGGTGGGCTCCTCATAGCACTACTGGTACCAACCCTAGTATGTTGTTCATCACAGGGTAGTGGACCCTCCCGACTAGGTGGTAGGGGGAATGGCTGGTGCAAAGGCAAATGGGGGGGTTAGAATAGTCTTGGGGTAACTCCCCATAGGCACAGACATCCACAGACTGTTCTGACTCTGGCCTGTACCTCTTAACTGAGGAGATGGCAATAACTAGTTGCACTGGGGAGCAATTAGCCGAGCCCTGGGAAAGAGAGAAGCTACCCGTTCCAGTCCTCATTTTTGTTAACAACCAGCAAACTGTCCCTCTGAAAGTGGGAACAAATGGCAGGTAGGTGGGAAGAATCAGGCTGGTGCTGTCCCCAGCCTCTGTCTAGTACAGGAAGAATCGAGGTAGCAAACGGCTGAAATGCTCTGACTAGGGGGAAAAGGAAGTGAGGGAAAGGAAGTTCCCACTTGTGTAGAGCTCCCAAAGCCCAGGGGCTGGAAGAAGGCAGACTTTGCATGTAAAGTGCTGTAGCTTCTAGTAGGGCTGGGCCCTAGGCAAGCTTGGAAGAAAGCAGGCCAGGCAAGGAAACCAGAACCACACATTTCTGACTGGCATATGCCCTGCCATGCTCCTTGCCGGGGTGGCTGGGAAAGCTGTGCTGGTAACTCTGCCATTAGCCTTTGCCAGCCACCAACCATCTCTTGTCCACACACAAACCAAAACCCAATTTATATGAGGACTGCCCTGCTCACAGCTGAAGGTTCTGGGCCAACAGTTTATTCAGGGTTGTGGCCCCAGCCTGAGTTTCTCAATGGAAGCCACACCTTGAGACTGGAAGTTTCTCGCTGGGTCAGAGGGGGTGCTTGTGTCTGTCACCCACCAGGCTCACACCTCATAGAGGATCACAGGGAAATCCACGTGGATGCGGGGGGGATCCAGCTTCACGATGCCCTGCCATGGAAACAGAGGCTAATGAGGGTCAGATTAGGGTTTCTGCTCTAGGAAGCCATTTGGCCCACCCCCCACAGATCCCATATGGGATGCCCTATAACCACTGCCCAGCCTCTCACCTGAGGAATCAGATTCTTATACACCCGCCTCAGCTTGGCCCGCTTCTGGCCGTTCTTGGTGACGATTGTCTCCTCATAGAACTCATGAGCCAGATCCCCATCCTCGTCATAGAACATGGAGCTGTGTAGATGGACAAGGGGACAGATTGGGCTAGAGTCCCAATCACAACAAATATTAAAGACTACAAGGAAGTGTACCCAGCTCCAAGATGGGAGGAACAATAGGTGTAAAGAGAAGATAACACACCTGGGAAATTCTTCAGTTGGGGTTTAAGGTCTACTAGAAGGAAATGCAGAGTGGGGCAATGCCAGTGTTACTTCATCATACCCTCCATAAGGCCATACCAAAGCCGTTCCTTATTACTGGCTTGTTCTGCAAGAGCAGCCATTTCAGTATCAACCCCTTCATCCAGGACTTAAGAGTGGGTGAGGTAGTGGCCTGCGTGGTGGTCTCACTCACTTCAGTCTCTGGCCCAGTGCCAAAGACTGAGGTAGCAGATGTCCAAGCTAAGAAGCAGCCTAAAGGGAGGAAAGTTACATCACACACCCAGTGACTGGGGCAGCCAAGTCTGTTGGGTCTCTAAATCTCCACCACAGGGAGTGGACATCCCCAGGAGACCACTAGGGTCAGGCAATTCTGGTGCTCCTGTGTGGGCCCTTGTAGCAAAGTAAGAGGGGATTAGGTCAGTGCTGCAGACCTGGAGAACATAACCAGGTGAGGGTCTTTTTTTTCCTTGGCCTCACCCTAAACCCCAGGGCCCATCCCTGCTTTCCCACTCACTATTCTCAGAGGTCCAATCTCTACTATGGTGGGGAAGGGAAGAACCCTAAACAAAAGGTTATTCTCCCATTGGAAGAACTGGGGGAGAGGAGGGAGAAGGTAATAATCCTCAATTTGCAGGCTGAGTTGTAAGGGATGAAAGAGATCCTGAGCTCTCACGGAGGCCCTATGTTAGTTTTATCGCGGAGAGTGCCTGCTCAGGGTCAAGCCTCAAGCCCACTCTTCCCTAGGGAGACTATTAGAGCAGCTAGCCCTCCAGAAGCCGATTGCCCGGCTTTCCCCATCCCCTGCTCCGATGGGGCCCCGAAATGCAGGACTCGTCCTGGTTCAAACACAAGAGTCTGGAGGCGGGAGCTCCCTGTGGCGCGGTGTGCCCGGGCGCCTGCGGTCCTCCCCGAAGCAGAATCCACGCCCTTACCCGCGGCGCGTGAATACGAAGGGGGGCACCCCTCGGCCTCGAGGCCTCACCAAGGCTTGCTCAGTGCCTGCAGTCTCCGGGACGCCGCCCCCCGCTGCCGAGGCGAAGGGCCAAAG